AGAGAGAGAGAGAGAGAGAGAGAGAGAGAGAGAGNTTGGTCTAACAATAATGCTAATTATTGATCTCTCCGACAACTCAACGAGGACAAGAGAGAGAGAGAGTGTGTGTGTGTGTGTGAGAGAGAGAGAGAGAGAGAGAGAGAGAGAGAGAGAGAGAGAGAGAGAGTTGTTGCCATGCTTCTAACAGTTGAGTTGATGTCTTCTATGTGCTCCTCTTGATAGTTGAAGAATGACATGCCCTTGTTTTCTCCTTTTAACTATGTGCATTGTGACGAAATTTTCAGCGTTAATCCAAGAACATAAATTGTACCCTAAACACCAAACCTTAAACCGCAATGCCCAATTTTTTTTCGGAACTACTAAAAATCATATGAAAAGGCTTCCATGCCAAATTGTTTCTCGTGTGGCAGACTCTAAAACAGTCATTGGTGTCTTAGTAAAGTCCATATTAGTCTAACTAGGGTCACCCACATTGCTCGCTTAGCCTTATAATTACCACAAAACTGGAAGCTTGACCAAGTCAAGCCCAATACTAGGATATTTCTTGAAAGATCACGTAACTAGGGTGAATTACACTTTGAATCCCAAATATCTTTAAATTTTTAATTATTCTCAAAAAAGATCAAAATTTTCACCTTTTACATTCAGTTAAACAAAACCCAAAAAGGTAGCAATGGTCCAAAATTAAATGTCCTTTTTTTAATTAATTTTTCTTTGCTCTAATTTTACATATTTTTTTGTACTCAATTATTTGTATATTACTCAATGAAAATTGATACGCTATCTAAATCAAAACTCAAATCTTTCGTACTAAATGCATTTACACCTCACATATTATTTTATGGGTCCCCAAAAAATCAGTTTTTTAATTCAGTCAGGTGTAAATGTGTTTGGAATGAGAGATTTGAGTTTTGATTTGGGCAGTATAACATTTTTCATTCCTCAATTTTAAGTATTCTAGAAAATCCTTAGAGGCGGTTCAATAGTTGAGTCTATCATCTAGTAATCTAGAAGTCTTAGGTTTAACGCTTTCAATACCCCCTGAGAGTCAACCAGCTTTTTTTCTTGGGAGATATGTTCTAAACTCGCTCAAGCACAAGTTTGAACACATTATAGTAAAAAAAATATTTTAAATAAAAAATTTGAACCTAATTTCTTTAAAAAGACCACGATACTACTTTTTCTTTGATTTAAAAGTGTAATGTAAAAATTTTAAATCTTTCAAGATGCAAACCAAGTATTTGAAGAATTTTGGGATGTAAAGTGTTCTTTCGCCTCATTTCTAGTGGCAAAATGTGAGCAGCCATTTGCTTTCTCCTGATTTAATGGCTGTCCTCAAGCTAGTTTGGTTGGCTTTCATCCCATGTGCACTGAATGCCTCTAATGAATCCCATTGTTTTCTTGATGAAGAAGTCCTTTGCTTTTATCACCTTCTCTTCTTCCTCCAAGAAAAAACCAAACCAGAGGAAAGAAGGAAGGTCTTGACATTCTTGTCGAAAATTTTGTTCTAAATAGAAGCAATTTTGAGGTAAAGAGAAGAATCTTGTTCAAGAAAGGCAAAATAAGATGAATGATCTTTTCTCCCACTCATTCAAACGATACCAGGACCTTAAACAACAGGCCTATGCCGATGACATGGAGGCCGGTGGAGGGAATGGAAATGAGACCATTGATCTTGACAAATTTTTTGAAGATGTCGAGAATGTCAAGGAAGATATGAGAAATGTTGAGAAACTCTACAAAAGGCTGCAAGAATCGAACGAAGAGAGCAAAACGGTTCACAATGCAAAAACCATGAAACAGCTGAGATCCCGGATGGATTCAGACGTCGAACAGGTTTTGAAACGGGTTAAGATCATCAAAGGGAAGCTTGAGGCGCTCGAACGATCCAATGCAGCTCACAGGAAGACTCCAGGGTGTGGTCCAGGCTCGTCTGCTGATCGAACACGAACCTCAGTAGTGAGTGGATTAGGGAAGAAGCTGAAGACAATGATGGATGATTTTCAAGGGTTAAGGACTAATATGAATGCTGAATACAAGGAAACAGTGGGGCGAAGATATTTCACTGTAACGGGTGAGAAGGCGAATGATGAATTGATTGAAGATTTGATTTCGAGTGGTGAGAGTGAAACATTCCTTCAAAAGGCGATTCAGGAACAGGGTCGCGGTCAGATTATGGATACGATTTCAGAAATTCAAGAGAGGCATGATGCTGTGAAGGAGATTGAGAAGAATTTGATTGAACTTCATCAGATTTTTTTAGACATGGCTGCACTTGTGGAGGCACAGGGGCAGCAATTGAATAACATAGAGACTCATGTGGCACATGCTAGTTCTTTCGTTAGACGAGGGACTGAACAGCTCCAAGAAGCAAAGGAGTATCAGAAGAGCTCGAGGAAATGTAAATGCTTTGCTATGGTTCTTGTTATTTGCATCATCATCGTTGCTCTTTACCCGATTTGGTCTACTGCTTTAATCCAATATTTTTTTTGAATCGTCGATGATTGAGAAGAGCTTGTTTGGATCTGATTGTCACCTCCTGTAACGATAGGCATGTGGAGCAAAAAGAAAGAGATTTCTGTGATGAAAAAAAAACAATCACATGTTTCTTTATTCTAGGACAAACTAATGTATATATATTTCTTTCATTCACTTTCTTATCTTCAACGATATATATATATATATTTTTTTTTGACTCGAGATGGTTTTATTTGCATGTTTTACATACATTCCCATTTCTTTCTGCAATTGTAATTTTGTATTTGGTTGAGAAGCAATCAGTGTGTCATTGCTGTAGAAAATGGTGTGGTTTTGGGAACAGCTGAGACTATTGCACTTGAAAGTTCATAGGAGGCAATATCAACACCATTAGAGATTGAAACTGAATGAGTAGTTTAATTGGTATTGTTCAATTCTGTCCCTTTTCCCCCACTCGTAGACAATCTCCAATCAGAAAACAATTGTGCTCTAGAAATCATAAATTTGTCATATTTTTTACATTCAAATTTGACAGATTTATTACATAATTTTCGTTTACTTGGCTCACGTATCATTTTTTTCGATTTTATTGGCCAATTTAACCTTTTGATCCTAATGCTATGTCTGATAGGAGGAATGAAAAGTATAAGAGATGAAAAATATGATGGCTATATGTTCTTTCTTTTGGGGAAGGAAAGACGTTTTTCCTCCTTCTTGTTAATTAGGAAAAATAATTATTTTATTTTATTTATTTGAGATGAATAAATTTTTTTTGAACATATAATTTATTAAATGTCATGAATGCCCTTGTGTGATATAAAACATAAACTCAAAAAGTTTCTATGGGCCCCACCACTTTATTATTTTTCTTGTATTTGAGAAATAAAATAAGATTTTTTTGGGAGTAGATACATTTTTTTAGACTTTTGAGATGAAGTGTACGGATAAGTATTTTATTCAATTAAATTCAATTTTAATAAAAACATTTTGTGATTAGACACAAAATTCAAATGACTTTTGAATTTTTTTAATTACTTACCCTTTTTTAAATTATGCATAATTTTTATTCTTTCACTCTCTCTCCACTTATTTCTCACACCATTACTCTCTCTCTCTCTCCGTTAGTCTCTTTATATCTTCCTTATTTTTTTTTCTCTTTCTCTCCCATTGATAATTTATTTTTCTTTTCAAATATATAAAAATTTGAATTTGATTTTTTCACCTCTCTCTCCTATTTTCTCTCTCACTCTAATTTCTCTCACCGTTACTCTCTCTCTCTCTTTTATTTCTCTCTTTATGTCAACGTTACAACAATACAATTATACAAATCAGTTATACCAATCAGTTACAATTATCCTATAAGACACTAAACAATTGCCCAGAATACCAAATTTGGTGTAATGGTAAACTCTTTTATGTAATAATAAACCTAATTTAATATATGTAATTGTTGTAACTATGTCGTGATACTAAATGATATAACTTTTTGGTTTATGTAAATAACTAAATAACAAATTGAGTTAGTGTTGTAATTTTATGTAATTGTTTAATGTAATTATTTAGTTTATTAGAACACATGAGTAACTATTTAGTGTATTATAAGATAATTATAACTAGTCAGTATAACTGATTAATGTAATTATGTTGTTGTAATTTTGATATAAGGAGATACAGAATATAAAGAGAAAGAGATGAAAGAGAGTAATGGAGAGATGAAAAAATTAAATCAAAATATTTATAAAAAAAATAAATTATCCATGAGGGAGGGAATAGGGGATAGATAGAGAAAATAGAAAGAGAATGAGAGAGTAATGGAAAGAGAGAGAGAGAGACTATGGAGTAATAAATGATCTTTTAGTCTTTTTTCTTTTTTTTTTATAAAAATGCACTTAAATTCAAATAAGTTTTCTTAATGTAGTTTAACTCAATTAATGCTAAATGAACTTAAAAACTAAACTTAATAATTTCAACTATTGAATAGATAGTGGATTTCAATAAATGCTGGGACCCACAATAAAATCAATGGTTCTAATTATCAAATTTAATTTTTAAGTCTACCTATTAAGTCTATATAGTATTGCTCTAAGTCCAAATTTTTGTACCGACTTCTATATTTCTCAATAAAATAATGTGAGCCCACATTTATTATTCTTTTCAAAAATTGGTGATTGTGTCATTTTGTAGAGGATATAAAAGTGAATTTATCCCTTGAAATCGTCGTGCTTATGTTTTTCCTTTCATTCTCCACCCAAATTTGGGCTTCTGGCAGATAAAAAATGGTGGACGAAACTGATTCACTTTCCATCCATTTTTCTTTCTCTTTTTTTTTGTTTTCCATTCATACCAAATAGAGAAAATTATCACTTTTCATCCATTCATTT